AAGTCAAGTTGTTCCTAGAAGATTTATTATTGTGTCAGTGATTTTACGAAGTTCCATGGCTAAAATCTGATTATTTACTGAGTGTTTTCTCCACTGATTGTTTGTTCTTTACTTAAACTCCTTTATATTTATTGTTCCTTTAGTTATTTTAGATTAGATTTCTCATATCAAATCCCCCCCTCCCAAATCGTGTTACTCTTCGTGAAACTTGGATCTGGTGACTTGTTACTTTAGACTTACTTTCCTCGTGGGATTGACTTTTACTTACCCTAGCTATTTGTTAAGGTGAATAAGGTTTAATTTTGTGTACACTTCGACAATACACCAATGTAGTGGACAGAGAGAAGGACAATGGTTTGAATGAGAAGAGAGAAACCAAACCACACCATAAAGTAGAAGAGAGAGTGTGTGTGAAATGATGGAGGGGAGGGGGAGAGAGAGAGAAAGAGAGATTAATTAAGTGGTTAGAGGGAGTTGTTAGAAGAAGTAATTAGGCAACAAGGTTGGGTTAAAAAAATTAAAAGAGAGGTTAAGAAGATTCCATGGCTCTAAATGGAATGGAACAATCAATAAAATAAAAAAGATCCATTTACGACAAATAAAGGGAAAAAAAAGGGATAGAGGAAATAGGAGGACTAACAAATACTAACTCATCAGTCATCATACCATATCTTTTATAAGAATTTTCCAAACCCCAAATGAAGTTTCAATGAATGAAAAAAATCAATAATAAAAAAAGAAGCCAAAAACAATTCTTCATAAGTTTTATTTAACGGACATGCCACATAATGAACTAAATGACCATAAACAAATTTCAAGTGAGTCCATATCATTTGTAAAACTCCATAACCCAAAAGTTATAAACGCAACAAACAAAGGTGATAGTAGCAAAACCAGCAGCCTTAGCCAAAGCCTCAAACTCATGCTTGCTCCGCTCCTTCCCTCCGGGGTTTTGTGTCATCATAAGTAAGTCTCTTTGGCTTATGACTTTGGCGGAAACTACAGTTTCCGGCTTGTCTGCCATGGTTCCTTCCACGGCGATGACCTTACCATTTTCCGGTAATGCCTTGAAGCAATTTCTTAACAACTTTATGCAATGTTCATCACTCCAATCATGTAAATCCACTATTTGGAAGGAAAATAAGTGTTATTTATGTGGTAAGTGCATATTTATTTCCTATTAATAGTTGTAAGTGTAAACTCACCTTCATGAATATGACATCTCCTTTGGGAATACTTTCAAACATATCTCCATATACATGTTCCAGATCTAATTAAAGGGTAGTTTGTGAATAATGTAAAAGTAAAATGATATCAACTAAAAAAGCGGAGGAAGTATTTCATTTCTTTATCAGACACATATCCTGATATCCCAACTTCCAACTTCTATTAATTTAATTTGTTCGGTAAGCGCATTTATAGTAAATGAACATAATTTCATGGAATGGAAGGAGCGGTTCACAATAACTAAAGATAGATAAAACTAGTTTAATATACATGTAGATAAAACAAGTTAAGGGTTCGTTTGACATCGTTGTGATTTTCTTTTTTGGTATTTTGGTTTTTTGTTTTTCAAAATTATATGATATTTGTCATATAATGAATTAAAAATAAGTTAAACTTGTTAAAATCACGATAATTTTGAAAACTGACAATAGAAAAGTAAATACTCATTTTTTGTCTTGTTTTTGGTTTTTTGTTTTTAAAAAATAGAAAATTGAAAACAAAAAATAATGTCAAACAAGCTCTAAGTTTGCGGATTCTTTGATAGATGTTTGAGCATATTATTTTTCCTCCTTTACCCTTTAATTAAACTTTGTTCATATATTATGTAATAATCAGAAAACTAACCAGCTCTCAATGAAGACCTTATCAACAACTAGGTTCAAACGAGGACCTAATGACACCCCATCATTATCAGGCACCAGAAACTTAGTTACCCTCAAAGGACTATACCGCCTTTCCACACCATCAGCCGCGTCTACTGCGGTGCATCCAACAACGTCATAGGTGGCTAGAAGACGGAGCATCCGGTTTAGCATGGCTGGTGCGTTCGGGTTCAGTATCTGAACCGAAAGCCCGTCGGGGCCGGCCTGATCATTGATCAACTGCAGCACCCCCATCTCAATGGTTACCTTCATAACCATGGGAAGGACACAAGAATTGATCAATTGATAAGTATATGCATAGTCTAGTTCTTCCTCATTCATTTGATCTGTAATATGATCTTCATTGGTTTTGCTGTTTGAAGATGTGGCCATAATTTTTAGTCTCTTTCTCTGGTATAAATGTGTGTTTTTTCTTTCAAACAAAAAAACTAAACGTGTTTATTTGTGTGGTAACACTTTTGTAAGGAGGGATGAGTGTAAGGGGGTTCAATTTATAATGTCTAGCTGGTGATACTAAGTGTATCCATCTAATCTAATACTATGAAAAAAATAATAAAAAAATGCACCTATAAATATAAAATAAAAGTTAACATATTCTATCTGTAATATTTATGAATTTACCCCGATAAATGAGTACTTTCTTTCTTTCTTAATTTCTTTATTCTCTATTAATTGAATAATTGTTACGTTTTTCCAATATACTTGTAGAAGGTTATTAGTTGACATATACCCGTTTCCGATAATGTATCATCTCTATCTCTCTATCTCTCTCATAGTTACATAATTGGTGATAAATCTTTTTTTTTTTTTTTTTGTTGTACAAGTAGGAAAAAGAAAAACATTAGTTGGTGTTACTTAGATTAACCAGTAAATGAAATTTTTTTTTTTTTTTTTAAAAGACATTAAGGACTGACTAGACTCAAGTCATCATGGTTTTTCAATCTACTACTTCCTCTGTTCTTTTTTACTTGATCCGTTTTGATTTTTACATTATTCATCACTCTTCCTTTGACCCTCTTTTGTGAATAATATGTAAGGAAAAACATAAGTATTATCTTAATATGTAACTTTCATAATTTTTACTTATGGAGAATTAAAGTTATTAATCGTTAAAGTTGTGCATTGACAAACGTGATAAAAGAAACAGATCAAGTAAAAAAGAATAGAGGAAGTAGTACTTAGGGCCAGGGGCGAGGGTAAGGTGAGAAAGAGGGGAAACAACCGTTGGTGTTACATCAATTAGGTTAATTGCATTGTTTTCGGTCTTTGAACTAAAAGTATGACTTTGTACAACATTTTTAAAATACAGCAAATCATTTTTTTTTTCTTGTTTTTTAGAAAACCACAAAGACGAGTAATGAGAGTCAATATCAAAATCCCTTAAAACCGAGAGAGAAGCTCTAACCATCTAGCTATTTGTCACTCTATAATAAATCACTTTAATAAAAGAATCCCGAGTGTAACTGGTTTTCTATAAATAAAAAATCTAGATGTATTAACAATTTAACATACATGGTATATACATGAGTACATCCAAATTCTGGAATTGAATTCTATGTTACTCCATTGCTCATTATAGTTCTCAGGAAACCCTATATAAATAAATAAATTATAAAATAAAAACATGCATGTAGATCTACGATTTGACAACAATTATATTTTGACTGACAACGAACTTCTTGACATTGAACCAGACATTTGTCTGCCAATTAGTATATAAAAATTAATAATGTACTTACAAAAACATTTTGATTGAGAACTAAAGTTAGGCACAAACCAAACATTTTGTCTGATAACTATATCAATTTTGGACTGCACTCTCGATCCCTTAAAATAAATTTCACATTTTCTATGGTTAATGTTGAACTATTCCAAATCACATCTTTGATCATTATAAGCCAAGATACAACTAATTGTACATAAAATTAGTTGTTTCGAGATAAAGTTCTATTTCTCATTTTAAATAAGTCCACATTATATAAGGGGAAAAGATACTTACTGTGTAATCAATCTAAATGACCTATGAGAGTGAGAGAGTTCATCTAAATGACCTATGAGAGTGAAAGAATTCATTCAGTAGTCATGCTAAAGAAAAGATACAACAATAATTAGAGCCTTAATCCCAAAGATGGGATCAAATGCAAAAACCATGATCTTTATCTCTTGTTCTCGCTAACCAAGTTCTCTCCTTCCATTCCCTTATGTCTCATGTCATATGCCCCTACAAATACGATTTCTTCATGTCTTTCTCTATTCCTAACTTTTTTTTGGTAAGATCCCAAGGATGCGATCTTAACCTTCTACTTTCTTTTACCAACGTGTCTTCCAATCACTACTAAACATTCCCAAATCAATGCAATTGATTTTCCCTTATTATATCCTCGACATCTGAATACTAACTTTCCTTCTAACATTTACATCTCTAATTCTATCCTTTCAAGCGTTCTCACACATATGCATCTCTAGTACTCCCATCTTTCTAATATGATGCATCCCCAGTGCCAACATTCTAACCCATATAACATCAGACCTTCCGATAGAATTTTCTCTTTATCTTGAAAGGTATGCTATGTTACACAATATCCCATTTGCTGCTCTCCATTTGATCCAACCGTACTTAAATCATGTCAGTCACAACTTGGTTGATTTCTTCACTTTATTGCAAAATCAAACCAAGGTATTTAAAACACTCAAACAATCATTTTGGGTGCTTCCTTACCATCCAAAGTTACTATATCCCCACTTGACTTCGTCGTAGAGCTAAAACTACATTGCTATAATCTGACATTAACCCCAACTCTAGTCTCCCAAACCACCAATACAATATCATTCATCTGCAAACAACATACATTACAGTGTCTCAACTTAGATAGCTCTTATTAATTCATCCAATATTATTGCAAAGAGGAAAGAACTCAGTGCCAGAACTTGTGTAATCCAATCGGAAAAGGGAAATCCTTTGGTACTACCCCTCAAGACATTTGTTTTGATGTCTTAATCTACATAACTAAGTCAATATACTTCCGAGGAAATACCCTTCTTAGTCTCAAAACTAGTAAGAATTATATATGGAGAACAAAAGTCGGCGCAAGAGTAAAATGACACCAGAGGTAAAAGGAAATCTAGTTTAGGCATTAATTTAAGTAAAAGTTTGGCACAAGATAAAAAATGACACGAAAGCTTCAATACATCAGCAAAAACTTAGGGTTTAATCTCTTAAGTTAAGCTACGCCGCAATAAGTACGAAGTAGTCTACACTGTTTGACCAAAAGTCTGTACAAGCCTGAAGTTACTCCTTATTTCATACCCAAAACATAGGTGAATTACATCTTAATAAGTTTAGAGCGACCCTGAAGACCAAAATCTAGCAGCCTGAAAAATACCCCAAAATGAATAGTATAGCCGCCTATTTTGCATCTACACACTTCACATATACATTGGAAGGATCTGATGCGAAATGAGAAAGATATGTTCACTATTTTTACCTCTAAATTCATTATTACTGGTACTTCGCAATCGAACAGGATTCTTTATTCGAAAGCTTGAGGTACATAATTTTTCATCATGTCAATTACAAGTCATGTTGTTCCTATAATTCAGAAATGAAGAGCCTGCAGATGATAAATGATTATTAACCTGCGATCTGGAATAAATGAAAACAACGCATTGCCAATAATGTACTTACAACTCAAAATTGATGTACCCTGCTCTTCAAATCCTCTCACTTGTAAGTTGTGTGTAGAGGGTGGCACAAATACAACTAACCACGTAGGCCCTAAACAAAGAAATTTTAAGCAGTAAGATAGCAATTGGAGCTTAGAAATCTACACATTGAAGAAACTATGCTGTGAATGGCCATGGAATAGGACACAGTCTAATCAACCAATGAAATTGCAAAAATGAACGCTACTAGCATCCGGTGAATCACTCAATGCCTAAGGTAAAAATTAACAGTCACCCATGTCATCCACTTTCTTCACTGTATTTGTTGATTAGCTGTAAAGCCATTGTTTGCTCCAAAAGAAAAAATATTACACTATATTATCCATAATACTACATGAATCATCCACAAGACTAATGAAAGGCTCCATAATCAACCAGCCTTAATTTTATTCAAACCTACTACTCCGGTCACTTTTTATTCTTTATGCTTTGAATTCCACGGTCTCCAACGCTTATCTTTGACCGTGTATACATTCAATATGATATGAGTAAAAATTCTGAAAGTTTGATATTTAGAAAATATATTTCAAGCCGAATCTAACAAGATCCCACATGATATAGTTTTGATATACTTCCTTTGTTTTCTTTAATGTGCAACACTTTTCTAAAAAGGAAATGTCACAACAGCTGCAATACTTCTTACAAAAATTAACATACTACCTTTAATTAAACAATATATGAAACACAAAACCCCACAGCCCATTTTAACTTCAACCACACTATCTCCTTAACCACTCCCTGCTTCAACCACAGCCATCACCAACCAAGCTCACTGCCAGTACCACCTATCACCACCACCACTCTAGCGCCACTGCCACCATACTCACTACTTCCCTCAAAACCACCACGCACCCTCACCATCTTCACTGAAACCACCACCCACCCTCATCACCTTCCCTGAAAACACCATCCACCCTCGCCACCTTCCCCAAAAACACCATCCACCCTCACCACCTTTTCGGGAAACACCACTCATTTACCCTACTTTCAACAAAAAAACCACCCACACCAACCCACGACACTAACACTCACCACATCCACAAACGAAATTTACAGAATCCATGGTGGTTAGATTGCCGCGGGTTTTAGATCTAGAAATTCTGTGGTTAAATTCAACCACCATGGTCTCAAATTTTGAGGGAAAAAAAACAAAGTTGCTGGTGGTGAGATTCGACCAAATGAAGTGGGTTTGGTTGTGGTGGTAGGCTGTGTGTGGTGTGGTGTTATTCTTGATACTTTCTTTCTCCTCTTGATTTGAGCAGCTTTTTGACGTGAAACTGTCAAGAATGATAGGTAGGTGGCGGTGATGTTAGTGGCGTTGGAGTAGGGTATGTGTGAAAGATATATGTTGGACATAAAAGAAAACAGAGGAAGTATATACAACAGTGAATTTTATCTTAATAGTTGACTAAGTCAAAACATAAACAATAAAATGTGGCAGAGGGGGTAAAACTAATGCTTTTAACAATTTAAGAATTGCCTTGAATGAAGGAAAACTTCCCCAAACATGCTCTAAAAGACCAGAACTTTCACCATCAATATAGCAAAGGGTTTTCGGTTCTTTTAGGAGAGAATTTGGGGTGATATCCATCAACAAGGCACCAACTCTAGGCATATTTGTCAATTTGTGATCCACAGAAAAAAGAAATTTATTTGCAAAATTATTAAATAAGGAAAAAAAATAAAAAAGACATTCACATCATCTAGTAGTTCACCAATATGTGAAGTTGTGAACAACATATCTAACTAGGTAATAACTCTATAAACGTATACTACATCTAGAAGTTCATAGCACACAAAAACTGATTTGGAATTTGTGAATTGTGAGCAAACTCATGAGCAAAGGACAACATATACTTCCTCCGTTCCCTTAATATTACAACAATTACCATTTTAGGAAATTTCACAACTATTGCAACATTTCTTTATTTGTACATGCTTTCTCTTTATCTCTCTCCTCATCGCATGGGTTCTACTTCTATGTCTCTCTATCTCTCTCCTCATCTTAAAAACCATGCAATACCTTTATATTGCAATATTAGTGGAACGGAGGAAGTATAAACTTAATTTGACTTGTTGGGTTCAACGAATGATTTTTAAAGTAGTTTACAACTAGCTCTATTTGTTAATGAAGGATAAAATTTGGTCTGTATGATACATTCGGGAATTAGGACACCAAACATATATAAAATCTAAAAAATTTAAACAGTTCAAGCCATTAATAACATCAACTTTTGACTTGTTATTAGTCATACATAATAGAAGATGAGGCTCTCCTTCCACCCCTGTGAAAGGGGGTCGATTCTCACCACAAGTAAGTGGGTTCCCTAATTTCCTCCATGCTTGCAAGGGAATTCTCCTTACCTTAAAAAATAAATAATGGAAGAAATTCTAAAACATTCTACATGCCTACATGGTGACCTCTTATCTTGTAAAATTCTATGTGATGGAAATTTTTTATTTGCTAGTTATTGTTTAATAAATTTACGTGATCCTATTTTGCAAATGCTTTGAGGAAATCAATAAAGATTTAAAATATATATATATATATATATATATATATAAATAAAAAAAAGTTCAGAAGAAAGAGGTGCAATATCATTTTGAGGTTAAAATGGTCAGAAATAAGACATGAGGAGAGATTATTTGTGTAGTAGGATGGTGAAAGTTTTATCTGTGTAGTACAGATGGTGAAGGGATAGTAGTGGTCAAAGCACTAGCTGAGGAAAAAAAGGTTAAAAAAAAAAAAAATTTAAAACAATTACTCCCTCCTTCCCTTAATGATGTGCATGTGTTCCTTAAAATGAGTCCCAAAAAAATTGTCCCTGTTTCTTTTTCATTCTATTTTTGGGTTTTACTTTAGGACAAAAATGCCCTCACTTCTCATTTCTATTTCCTCCTATATCCTTTCTTTTTTTGAAAAATGCAACAACACATACACCAATTCTACTTTTTGTACTTCTAATCAAAAAGTTAATGACATGCCATCAAAACGTCTTCAATTTCTGAATTTTTTTTAATTAAAGCAATAAAGTACACTCACATATGCACCAATTCTACTTTTTGTACTTCATCATTAGTTCCTTAATTCCCGTGAAATTTGAGAAATGAGCACATAAATAAAGGACGGAGTATATACCTATTTTCTTACCAATATTTAAGGTTCTTTCAATAGTTTTGCAAACTAAGGCTCGCGATTAAAAAGCAAAAGAAAAAATTTTCCACCATAAATTAACAACATATAGAGTTACCACATAGAATTTCAATGATAATATTGGTCAAATTACGGCATTAGAAACCACAGAAAAAATGTTGTATTTAGTTTGGACTAGAAAAAGGTATCAAATTCATATGTGATTAACATGTGCATGCTTTGAAATTCACATTGCAGGCAAAACCGTTGTCCAATATTCAGCCATCAATTGAATTAGGAATTGTCTATTGACTTTTTAAAGTTGTTGGTTAGTTCCTGTTAATAAGCAGTACTTCCAAAGGGGTGTTACACTATTAGATTTAGAATATTAGCTATGTAGAGGGAGAAGTTAATTCCTTTTCTTTTTTGGTTTAAGTCAGGTTTTTTTAACAAAATGAAAAATTAAAAAAAAATTTAAAAAAAAAAACAAGTCAGTTAAATAAATAAGTTTAGTTCATTGAAAATAAACAACTTTAAAGAGCAAATATAATAGAGATCAATAAAAATAAGTATTAATTGTTAAAAATTATTTAAGTATTGTAAAAATAATACTTTCTCCATTCTTTTTTACTTGACCTGTTTCATTTATCACATTTGTCAATGCAAAACTTTAACCAACAATAACGTTAATTCTTCATAAGTAAAAATTATAAAAGGTATATATAATGATACTACTTATTGAGACGATTCTAACAAGATCCCACATGAATAGGTTTTTTCTCAACTATAATTCACAAAAGATGGTCAAAGGAGGAGCGATGAATAGTGTAAAAGTTAAAGCGGGTCAAGTAAAAAAGAACGGAGGAAATATAATTTTAGGAGAAATAATTTCAGTTCAACCAAAAAAAAAAAAAAAAAAAAATAAGGGTGTAGAAACAAGGCCTTAGTCAGAGAAAAATTGATTACATGGGATGCCATCTTAGAACTAAGAGGTAGACAAAGTTGAGAGAGGATGTAATAACAATAGATGGAAAGGATTCACCCAAGAATAAGTGTTTTAAGTACCTTAGAATGCTTTATCAAGGAACTAAGATATTGACCAAGATGTGCTTCACATGATTGTGTGACTGTATTATACCTTAAAAATTTAAGTGGAAAATACTATAGGAAGCTATAGACATTTAGACCATCAATGTTATATACTTATATGAACTGAGATATTGTTATGTATACAGAACAACGCAGCATGTTATGATGGATGTGTGGAAGGACCTTAAAGGATAAAACTAGGAATGAGCATAAAGCACAAACTTCATAAGCAACTCCCACTCACAACAAATACTAACATTTTTTTTGCTAAACCAGCCAAAGATCAAATAGCTAAACTGAGATACTAATTCACCAAAGCCTTACTTCCAAAACAAGTCAAACCAACAGCTAAGAATTGCTAAAAGATTCACCATATAATATTGATACAAAAAGGCTATTTTCTAGAACCAAGATAACCCAAAAGAACTAGCTATGAGGGTCTAGACTCTAGATTCAGAGCTATGATACGAGTAACTATAACCAAGTTTTATGTTTGTGAGACCAAAAAAAAAAAAAGAGAGCGTTTTATGATACGTCCTAATATGTATTTGAGGCGCTAGGAGCTACAATGGGGTCAACGTCAAGAGAGTTTGTTCTGAAGAATAGCAATCCAAGGATCATTGCAACAGTAAGGGGCCAATTGACCAGATTGGTAAATAAAAAGACCCCTAGCGACAATTTGGTAAAAAAAATAACTCCGACTATAATTTGGTGAAAAAAACTAACTTTAAGCGACAATTTGGTAAATAAAATAATTTAATAATCTAAGGCGACAATTAACCCAAAAAATACAAAAAATTCTGACAAATTATTCGCAAATGCTTAATTTAGTTCGTTTTTCGTGTTTTTTTTACCATTCTTTTTATGGAAATAACAATTTGAAGAAAAAAAAATGTTTAAGTATCAATTTTCACTTAAGTTATGTACCCCTTTATTAACGAATTTTGTTAAAAAAGAGGTTGGAAATAAATTTGGTATCGGGATTTAGCAAAATAAAAAGGGGATGACATATTAATTCAAAATTTTAAATGGAAAAAATAAATTTTATAACACAAAAACAAATTAAATTAGGATTTATGAAGAGTTTGCCCAAAATAATTAGATTTTTGGGGCTAAATGTTGCCGGAATTTATTGTTTTTACCAAATTATCGCATATGTTTAGCTTTTTTTACCAAATTGTCACCGGAGTAAGTTTTTTTACCAAACTATCGCGAGGAGCTTTTTTTTTTCTAAAAAAAAAAAATCCGGTCAGTTGGCCAGCGGTGTGGTGTAAATTTTGGAATTCCTAGTTTACTAGATAATTAAGAACATATTGGGATGTATCTCCACAGTTTATTTGTACAAGTTACAACTTACAACAAATAATTTTTTTTAGCAAAAAAAAATAAGTCGTAAAAGCCAGCAAAAATAAGTTAAGCAAAGCTTATTCAGCAAAATAGTTCAGAGATTGCCTTAATTAAGAATTTAAGAAATAATATAAGGTAAAAATTATGATTGAGCAGGGAATCTATTTCAATCTATAGGATTTCAAGAGGCTTACTCCTAAAACCAAACTAGAACAAAGTCTCAATAATATTCTTTATGACTCTCTCAGTCTACTCTCCTCTATTTATTTCTAATTTTCTTCTCACTTTCTCCTCCAATTAAATCTCTATATTCTTTCACAAAAATTAAAAGATTCCCAAAACTGTGTTATGATATGCTTCTGATTGTACCTCTCCCTCTGGTTAGCTTCTTGCAATTAATCCTAGATTTCTTAAGAGAACTTTGGTAACTGGTATATATTAGAACACAAACAACTTACCTTAAGTCCTTAACAATATCGCAAGTGAGCAATATAAGAAAGACAGAACCAATCTATTAAAATAAATTCACAACTCAGTAAACAGCAACTTAGCAATTAGAGCATTGCTCAAACTTCATACTGTATAAAATTGACATTAATCAAGAAGATGCTTACCTAGACCTTGCACAAGCTGACAAATTTTGGTCTCCATAAAAGCATCTTCCACTGATTTGACCATTAGAAGGTGACCTCCAAGTCTCCCAACTTTCAAAAAAGAAGTTCATTTTGACATGCATAACTCTTCTGCTGACTCCTTTCCATATACATGAGCTTGATATTTTCGAGCAACACATGAAGTTATTCCTTACTGTTCCTCAATCTTCTGTTGTAGATCAAATGCAATCACAGTGATTAAACACAAGCACCAAAAAGATTGCCAATATTCAACATTTTATCCATCTGAATTAATAGATGGAATGATATAAGGTACTAGATTCTCCTCATATACAGATACCAAACATAGAAGCCAACACAACTTTAAAATTCTAAAAACATCCATCTAAATTAGTAGAAGCAAAGTCTTAAATCATTACATTGTCCTCAACTGATTTTATATGAGACATGAAAGGAGACGTCCAGTATACAAAACAGATATTATTCACTTACGTAGGCATCTCCTTCAAAGCATGTCCATTAACCACGACAGACTCTGTGAACTTATACGGGGTGGACAATGAAACTGAAAGTCTGAAATGCAAGAAAATATAAATATAGCTTTCTTGTTTCTTTTAGCAACTTTTAGTATTTAATTCCTTAGGTTAAGGAAAGGAGGAGGCAGGGAAGTTTTGTCATACAAGATCAAAAGGACTGCAATTTCATACAAGATTCATAGACGACTACTTCAAAATGCAAGCAGATATAATTATATAAATGATAAGCTTGTCAGCCTAGTTGAGAAAACCTTAACTATTGTAGAAATCATAATTCAAAACAGCCTTTATAAGGCATGGAATTTTACAAGATGTCACAGGAGCAATATTGAATGGGTGTTTAGATTACCCCCAGGAGCAAAACTCACATGTGCATACCTTTCAAGCATGACTTCTTCCTTTACGCACAAAGTTCAAAAGGCTCATACACGAAGGTGCCTCACATGTGTGCCATGTCAATTCTCTCTACATTTTCTTCCTCATCTTCACTTTTTTCAACATGGTCATCATTACTTGACTCCAACTGAGACTGATCATAACTTTCAATATTCTTGCTACCACCATTTAATAAGGAAAGTTGATCCGATACAACAGCATTTCTTTTATAGTTCCAAACGAGCATAGAAATATTATCTTGTGGTGAAATTAGGCCTTGCTCTTTGATACAGTTCCTCTGATCCTCCAAGGTCTTAGGATCATCAAGGCTCAGGAACTCTAACAATGCCTTTTCATGTTCAGGCCTCCAGCTATTAGGAAAAGGGGTGTAATCTGTCTCAGGCACAAGAGACATCCTTGTATACTTCAGCCCTTCAATAGACTCTGCGAGACCCATCCTTAGCATGTTCTGATACTCAGGTGAAAGCCCCTTTTTCTCTTTTAAAGGACGACTAAGGGTTCTATCACTAATCTTGTACACTTTTGCACGTGAACGAAGCTTATATTTCGCAGCATACAGCTTTGCAAGTGATCCTCTGATAATATAAGAGCAAAAATTAACAATTTTCTTCCTATTATCAGCATATCTGTACCACTCAACCATAGTGCAGAGCAGCTTGTTCATCTGAGCATTAGTGTGAGCTTGAGTAGCATGAAACATTCTGAAACAAGGCTGTGGGTCAGGTTCTCGATCCCCTTTCAGAAGGTTCAACTTCCTGAATTGCTTAATACATTGCTTCAGACTAGCTGTCACAGACAAAAGGGTTCCAACACCCTTCTCACTGATAATTTTTCCACCAGTAGCTGTGTAGCGCAGTGTGGGATAAACAACTCTTCGGCATAATACATGATCAAGAAACATAATTCCCTTGGTTATGTGCTCAATAGGTAGGCTGTCATTGTCGAGCTTCAGGAGATATTTCTGATCACAGAACTCAATCAACTGCTTTCTTAATATTGCTGCATCAGCTCTGGGTCCTCGAATTCCGATCAAAATGTGACCTCCATACCTGATAAAGTCCATTTTTCGTGTTTTATCTGGTCCACTAGTGGGGACAAACTCAGGCCATGAAGTATTTCCCTGCTCTGCTTCGCCTTCTGGCGTATTCCAAATGACATCACTTTTTGAAGGATGATAAAACTCCTTAATCTTACCCTCCATCCAATGATCCAATTCATCTAAGATTATGTTCGCCAACAGTGGGCTCAAAATTCCACAATGACCCCAAGAAGGAACCTTCTCTGCTTCCTCTGGAGCAAACCCAAAAAAGGAATCCAACCAATATGGATCAGGTTTTGGTTCATCATCTGCCAAAACCTTCTTCTTCTGATACTTTCGTTTCTTCTTCTTTTTATCACCATCATCAATCTTTGTCGCAATCACTGGCATCACAAGAGCTGATCGTATCAAATCAACCACCTTCTTATCCCTCACATCCCTCATTAAAGCACTTATAACTAATCCAACCTTCACGCCATCAAGAATGGTACTCAAATCTCCTTTTATATACCACAAATACCCAGCAAAAGACCTCCTAATAACCCTCAAAACAGTATGAGCAGTCCTACCAGGTCTAAATGCATATGACTTCTGCGAAAAGCGAGACTCATAAATGGGCTCCAAAGTCATAAACAAAACCTCTTGAACAATCCTATCTTGATACGGAGCCGGCTGCGTGGTGGTTAATATCGTCTTAATCTTCCTTTTCGATAAAGAATCATACTCAGTCTTATCCCTAGGTGACTTGATATAAAAGTTCAATCTAGCACCCCATTTAAACCTATCATCGAGAACTGCATTCCTAAGAGCCAACAAATCCTCCAAGGCCGACCGTTGTATCGAATGTCGAGGCAAATAAGAACCAGTTTCATCAGCATACACCTTCTGATATGCCAATACCCACAACTCAAATTTCCTAAGATATGAAGTCAAATTGCTAACACTCTTTTCGGGTTCGCGAAAATTCTCAATCCACATATGTGAGCAAACTGCAACCCCATCTTCCTTCATTAAGCTTAAAGGGTCATCTGGGTCAGGTTTTCTCCTATTATCATGAAACCCAGAAAATGCCCTAAATAATGAAAACCCAATTGACCTATGATTGTGCTCAACGAAATTGTTGCATAAAATTGAGGGTTTTAAGGTTTGATTAATTGACCCAGCTAAAACCCTATATCCTGTAATTGCAAGATTTCGACGCATTTCGAAAACTTGACAAAATTATAATATGTAACTGTAACACAATATGAATATGAAAAACAAACCTTAATGAGATGAAGAGAGTGAAACAGAACTACCCCATGAAATTTTCTAAAAAAAAGCTTCCTCCACCATCAATGGCCAGCTTTAATGGCGGAAACATGAAATGGGTCATTCAAGTTCCATAGATGAAATGATGGGTTTCCTTGGGTTGCTCCGGTTAGTGGTATTCGTTGAGACCTTGAATTTGAATTGTTGTTGAAATTGAAACCTAAAATGCTAGTACAAGGAAACGGCGGTGCTGCTACTCGGTTGACGGGGAAATGATATCGTGAGTTAAGTATAATTTTGGGACTCACTTTTTTTATATTTTAACCTTTTGAACACTCTAACCACTTTAATGTTAGTCCCAACAAATTTATTAAAAATATATATTTTAATAATGTTAACTTTGCCTATTTAATTTAGGAAAAATTGTGAACAATAAAATGATTTTTGAGCGTTTTTTCAAAAATAAAACGATTTTTTAATTATTTTAAAATAAAATGACCTTTGACATAATCTGTCCAAAATAGAACAAAAATCGGTAACCTATTAAAAAGGTTAAAACTAGAAATAGGTCTCTTTGTAATTGGTTGGAATTTTAATTTTTTTTTACATTTTTCTTATTATAAAAAAATGATTTTGAATTAAAAAAAATAAAACACCCTCTCTCTCCTCCTCTCCCCTTCCCTGTCCTCCTTGTGAGCCACCTGAACGGCCTCCCTACCACCACCTTACCACAACAGTACTTTCCCTCCCTTCCGAAACCCACCTATAGCCCCTGAACTATCCCACTCCCCTTGAAACAACCCCGAAACCACCCTAAAACCACTGTAAACACACCCGTAACCTCGGAATCCACCCCTTAACCAACTCACTCCTTGAAACAACCCCGAAACCACCCTCAAACCTACCCGCAACACTCGATACCACCCCCAAACCAACTAGCAACCCCCTAACTACCCCTCAGCAGGATCGTGAGTCGGCATTATTCAAATTCTTCCGCAATAAAATTCAACCGAAAATCGCAATAAAATTCAACCGAAACTGAATTTTATGAACAAATTAGAGTCGAATTTTGTAGGATCAGTGTGAGGACGAAAATGTAGTAGCATTGAAAGTAATAGGAAGAGTAGAATTATTGGATTTTCTAAAAAAAAAAAAAGTGTAGAATGATTGGAGATTGGAAATTGGATGTGGGTGAATGAGGATGGTGGTGGTGTTGGTGACTGGGTGGGCGATGGGTTGGTGAAGGGGTGATGATTGGCTTTTCTAAAAAAAAAAAAAATTAAAATCATTTTTGTTAAAAAAAAAGTAAAAATAAAAAACAACCAAGTACTTTACAAAACGTGTCACAATAACATGTTACGTCCTATTTTGAGCAAATGTATGTCAAAGGTCATTTTATTTTGGAATAATCAAAAGGTCGTTTTATTTTTGAAAGACCGCTGAAAAGTCATTTTATTCTTCACAATTTTTCAAAAAAAAAAGCATTAAAGAAGAATGATGAACAACAAGATACATACACCGCTAGGTATTGTAAATGTCATATATTGTTATGTATTACGAAGTATTAAATTATATATGTATATATATACACACACATATATATACACACATACACAGACACACACACATATATATATAGGAATTTGCTAGAATGAGAAATGAGAAAATGAGAAAACACTAATTCCTTGACACATCATCTTGGTTTAAAATTTAAATTTCCTCCTTTTTTTATTCTTAACTTTCTCATATTTTGACAATGGTATGTGTTAGGATATTATTATCTTTCTCAGTTCTCATTCTAGCAATTCCCTAGATAAATATATATATATATATATATGTATGTATGTATGTATGTGTGTGTATATGTATATATATATATATATATATATATATATATATATATATATATGTATATGTATATATATATATATATATACACACACACACACATATATATATATATAGGGTCGGGATCCGGTGAGAACCACCCTTTATGTAAGAACCACCATCTATGTGAGAACCAATACCGGCCGTTAGATTATATTAAATTCAACAGCTAAGATTAAAATACAAAGCTTCCAAATACCTCCACTCCATTCTCACGGTTCCTCCTTTCTCCTTTCTCTCTCCTCCTTTCACTCTCACGTTCTCTCTCCTCTACACTCTCATCTCCTTTCTCTCTCCTCCTCTCCATTTTCTTCTCAGACATCTCTCCTCTCCATTGTCTTTTAAGCTTCAGAAGCGGCTCGCCGCCGATATTCTCAAGTGTGGTCGTGGTAAGGTTTGGCTTGATCCTAATGAAGGCAATGAAATCTCCATGGCTAACTCTCATACGTTCTTTCTCTCTTCTTTGATTTCAATTTTCTTTAGTTGTCTTTTTGTTTTAGTTATTTTCAATCGATTGTCAGATTTTCTTGCTACTTTTTCTGATGATTATCTAAATTAGAACCCTTCTTACGGTAGTTGATGTAGTGCTTTTTTATGTGAATTTTTCTGGAAAATAGTGATCGTTTGATGTATTATTGATCAAATTGTAGAAAGTATTCTGAAAACATCGTAATTTTTTGTGACTTATATTTGTTGATTGATTTTATTAGCGTTTATTCTAAAAACTTGAATTTGCACATATGAGCTTTACAAATGACGATATATCTGCAAATTTCGGTTTTAATTTTGGAAGAAATTATTTAATTGATCAAGTTGAATGATTTAGTTCGTATTATGAACAAGTTATAAGTTGTTATATTTACCTTGATGATTTTGAGATCTTATAATGGTTTTGTGAAGTTCGTTGGCGTTGATATGGCTTCATTATGAGTAAGAATATACAACAATTAAAATGTAATATTACAACAATTTATCAATGAAAATATATATTTTTATACATATGTTTAGTTTTTGTATGAACTTGCTATTGAATGAGCTTGCAACAATTGATTCTATCATTGAATCAAATGAATCTTTGGTTGGATATGTTTCAAAGGTATGCTTTGCTATTGCATTAATAGCTGCTGGGAAGCTTCGTCTTCTGAGACCCTCCAGTTTTTTTTAGAAGTTTGTATTGTTTCTTCCTTTGCTGGTTAGGTTGTGAAGCTTTTGGACTATATGACCAGTTAGTGTATTACTTAATTTATTGGAAAATGAGATGCGATTCTAATCAGAAAGATTCTATAAAAAGTTGCATTTATTTGCTGATTTTTCTTTCCTTTCTCTTACGAGTTTACCTCATTAATGACTTTAAAAATATGTCTATATTGGTGTACAAGATATGATTGATGTTGTATATGATGCGCTTAGCTAATTAAAATATCATCAATTTTTTCACGAATTTATCCTTGTATGATTTTGGCTCGAGTCCATGAGTTTATCCTTTTATCTGATTTATTTATGATCATGGCTTGGGTCCACTAATTTTATATAGCATTGTGGTGGTAAAAGTGATGGTGGCATATTCTTGCAACTTATCGTTGGCTTCGCTCGTAAACTATGCAGGAAAAACACTTAGAGGAATCCTATAACTTGGCTTGTATTCTTACTCTTCCTCCTTACCAGAGGAAAGGCTATGGAAAATTTCTTATTGCATTTTGTAAGCCTCCACCCTTAACAATTTTCTAGTAATTTTTGCGCTCTGCTATGTTACTTCACTGCTTCTTATTCTAAGGATCCAATGAAGTAAGGGTTGTTATGGTCTTACACAATAGGGAATTTAGGCTCGGCATTTTGCTAATATATGTATAGCCATTTCTCTCTTTGTTGCTCACATCAGCTATGGTTGCAACAGCTTATGAACTTTCTAAGAAAGAAGGTAAGGAGGGCACACCTGAAAGGCCACTCTCTGATCTAGGGATGTTGAGCTACAGGGGATATTGGACACGTGCTCTTCTGGATATCTTGAAGAAGCATAAGGGAAACATATCTATCAAGGTTTGTAGAATGAAAACCTTCTTCTATCTCATTGGTTTGTAGACTTGAAACTTCTTAGGATCCATGCGTCTATTTTTTAGTGTTTTTGACTAAAACTTTTGTACTTCTATTTCCTGCTCGATTGTGATGAATATGTGGCTTATTGTTCTGCATGAGCTTAGTGACATGACAACCATCAAAGCAGAGGATATTTTGTATACTCTCCAAAGTCTGGAGCTGATCCAGTATCGCAAAGGGCAACATGTCATATGTGAACCTATTAGCTCAATTGGTAGAGCACTATGCAAATGCATAGAGGATGTAGGTTCAATTCCTACATAGGTTATCTCTATAAACAAAATTAATAAAAAAAAAATCCAATTCGTACTAAATTATATGAGCAAAAAAATGGTTTGAAATGATTTATAACTATATAAACTTTGTTACAATTAAACTCTCATACAAACTTGTGTCTCCGCATTACATAAATGAACCTACATGGGATTCGAACTCACATCTTTTGTGCATTTGCACAATGCTCTACCCTTGAGCTAGTAGGCTAACGTATTTAAAACATTCAAACACACTCACAAATGAGCATTAGTTTGACAAAATGAGCAAGAGTTTGCTCATTTGACAAAAGAGCATTGAATTTAGTACGAGAGTTAGCCATGGAGATTTCATTGCCTTCATTAGGATCAAGCCAAACCTTACCACAACCACACTTGAGAATATCGGCGGCGAGCCGCTTCTAAAGCTTCAAAGACAATGGAGAGGAGAGATGCCTGAGAAGAAAATGGAGAGGAGGAGAGAGAAAGGAGATGAGAGTGGAGAGGAGAGAGAACGTGAGAGTGGAGAGGAGGAGAAAGAAAAGAGAAAAGAGGACCTGTGAGAATGGAGTGGAGGTATTTGGCAGCTTTGTATTTTAATCTTAGCTATTGAATTTCATATAATCTAACGACCGGTATTGGTTCTCACATAGATGGTGGTTCTCACTGGATCCCGACCCTATATATATATACATACATATATATATATATATATATATATATATATATATATATATATATATAAAATCAAGATCATGTGAGAACCTAGGTCTATAATAAGAACTAGGAACTCATCTGGACCGTTGATCGCGCTTATTCTAACGGCTCATATTCCACTCCATACCCCTTCCGGCGAACCCCACCAAGCCCCATCCCTGCTCGCTCGGCCACCAAGCCCCTCCAATTTCGTCCCCAATGTTCTCCCTCTCTTTATCCTCAAAACTTTATAATTTTGGGTGTCCTACAATTCGCAACACCAGCCAGAATTAACCACCGCCGGCGACTCATCCTACCTTAGAAACTATTTTAATGGAGTGAGAGAAAACTCAAAAGTCGCTTTAATGGAGAACTTAGAATGCGCTTCAATGGAGGAGGCTCAAATAGAGTTGCTGCCAAACCAATTGGAAAGAAAATCAATTTGCCATATAAAT